CCCCTATGGGATTATCTGGCCGCGAGATGTATATTTCAAACTTTTCAAATTTCAAATTGCAGGACTTGAGCAGGCCTTCGCCTGAGAGATGTCCTGGTATTGGTGTGTTCTGTCCTGGGACTGACTCGCCTGTGAGTGGGTATAATTACCGGTTTGACCGTTCCAGAGTTATCTGGAATTTGAATTAGTTGAGGCTGAGTAATTATCATTATTGACGAGCGGTCCGCAGAATATCCAACCAAAAATCGTGCGCACGGTGTATGGATATATACGGTCTTCTATCCGTTGGTCCAAAACCCAATGCCCCTCGGGTACGTCACAGCCAATTAATATGTTCACTGGGGTGTCCGGAACATCCTCGAACGGTAAATCGTGGAGATGAGGCCAGCGCTGCACTAACGACCTGCTACTTTCAAAAGCTCTCATTAGTATTTCTGCGATAGTGAATGCTCGGTATGGAATAGAAAATCCGCCAACATAAGAACCACTGCCAGAAAGAAAACTTAATAAAATAGCGAGGAAAGTTAAGGAAATGCATGGTATTTGCGAGGAATTTTCAGTCCTTTTTAATGTTACAATCTTTTAACTTTACTTCTTTTGATTGAATATGCAAAGATAAAATTTTCAGAAAAGGGGAAGTGCTCAAACAAACTTCTGCCATTTAACACACAATTAGGCGATGGTGTTGAGATTGGATTGGGATTCCCGAGGTGATAACTTGGTTACGGTACCACCGGGCCATCACTTGCTCGACAATCTTCTTTGATGTGAAGCTTCACAACATCAGCAGATCTCATAACTGGCCTATCAACACGGAACAGACTGTAACCTGGGAATGACATTTTTGCGACCGAAACCTTATGATAAAGCCACGCCTCTGTTAAAGCTATCATCATCGGGGAATGTTCGATAACCCATTCTTCGAGGTCATCCAACTTGTTGAGCATTCCCTTACATTGGTGAACCCGCATACACTGCTTGGCTTTGCGACTACTGCGGCTCTGTCGCCAAGGCGGCAGGATCGCTTGTCCCGGAACACCAAAACTAGTGAGAGCCAAACAAATCAACAGTTTGTTCTCCACTACCAGAAAATTTCACATCATCTGGTCACTGTCGCCATTAGTCCGTCCTGCACGGAGTCCAGCTGGTGCCACTTTCAGTTGGCTCCGTTCCTCTGAGGCGAGATCATGCAGGAACCTGGCCTTTTAACCCTTCAGGTGCATCGCACTTCGCAAGATGAAACCGATCTCCTCAACAGTGCCAAATATCATCATTAGAGGTCGGTGATTTCCAGTTACCAACGGTCTCCCTAGTTGAAAGACGGATTTCATCCTAATGGAAATGGTTAATAACATCTCAGAGTCGTCAAACATTCTCTGCAAGCAACCTCGCAAAAGCAGTGAGTTTTCTTCAAGATGTAATTGTGAGGAATTTTCCACAGATTCTGGTACATTAAATACAAAGATGCAATGGTCTCGGGATGGTATATTAGAAACGAGTTGGTACAGTGAATGCTGTGGCTGCAACCGACAATTTGATAGTCTGTGCTCCCTGAAGCTCACGGGTAATCTGGAAAACCTTGCTTATCCTCCGTCAAGTGGCTGGAGAGTAAGTTGGCGTTAGTACTGAAGGTCCGGGTTGTCACCGGACTTCGCACGTATTAGGTATTCTGGGCCGCCTTCTACGTGTGCTCACTAGACGCGGGGAACCAACAACGGCGTCTGCGTCAGCCAATGGTATGATCGAATGCTTGCTGTCGGTGGACAGGGTAGCCTCTGGCAATGCGGCTACGTTTGACGATTTGATCAAATGTGATTTGACATTCGCCGGACGATTGTCTATACGCGCCGGAGCGACCAAATTGAATGACATAGAGCATTTGTTGTAGATTACTTTGAGAACATACGTTTTGCCCGAACTCAATACATCAATCAGTTTGGGGCCGACCTTTGTACAACCTAGGGGAAACAAATGCTTACATCCATCGCACTTTAAAGCCTTTGTACGGGGACCCACTTCTTTATCGCAAGTGGCACATGGAGACATCCTAGCACTAGTGTTCGGAGCCATTGTATTTCTTAACTCCACATTAATCCAAAGTAATGAACACAGAATCACAGAAAAATAATTTCCACGGTATCACTCTTGAGACTTGCTGGTGTAGCGCAATCAGTTCAGTTTAGTTCAGTGGTTCAGGACATGACGATGAGATACCAAATCGTCCAGTTTCTTGCTCTGATGGGCTCTTGGATCCCATTGGCTNGCTTCGAATTCATCACATTAATGTCTTCATGGACTGGTAGATTCTTTGTTGTCGTACTCCGTGTAAGCTTCTGTCACCGACCTGGCAGTCGTTTTCTCTTATTTCCTTTTGTCCCCGCTGGGCCTATATAGCAAATGGGCCTTGATTTTCTCTCTCCTCGATGAGATGCTGTCATGTTGCAGCACTGAGAGGTGCATCCCACAACATCGGCCACTGATACACCTAATCTAAATCAATTTTCATTCTGTCATCTGCTACTACCCAGATTATCTTGATGTCATTCTCAAACTCAAAGCATGGATTTCGCAACACGTTCGCTAGGTCTTTGAGAAACAAAACAAATAACAATGGTCACGGCACCGACCATTGGGACACTGCACTCTTCAATTCTCCTCTCAATGACAGAACTTCTTCTACTTTTACCTGAAAGTGTCTTCTCTTCATGCTTTCCACTACCCACCGTTCTTACCTGAGCGCCATCCCAAATGCTTGCAGTTTTTGATTCAGTAGCCTACTATTCACTGAACAAAAAGCTTTTTGGACGTCTAGGTGGCACACTTTCACTTGGTCTCTCCTGTACAATCCCTATGTTACGTCATCGACAAACACTACAAGGTTGGATAGACAGGACCTATGTCGCATGAACCTATGCTGATAAGGCCTCACCAATTTGTGGTTTTCAAGGTGATTCGCAATCCTTTCTCTTATGATGCGCTCAAGTATCTTCAAGATGACTGAGGTAAGGTTCACTGATTATAATTTGAGCACATTTATTTGTCCCCTTTTTTCAATGGAGATTACAGTGGACAAATTCAGTCACTTGGGAGTCTTCCCTTCTCCAGGGAAATATTGATTCAGTTTCCAATGGTTACGCTACAATACGTCCACGCGGCTTCAGTATAGCTGGATTTATTCCACCCAGTCCTGCCGCTTTTGCAGCGACTTATTTCCGAATACTCTTCATTACTTCCTCCACGGATGTGGCTGTCTTCCTTTTCTGGTATAAGCATATTACCAGTCAATGAAAGCCCCCAAGGAGATTGATTCGACAGGCATATGCTTTAGAAGAACTCAAGTAGTTCAGCGGCTTTCTCCTTCTCATTTATGAGGCGTTAACCTTTTCCGTTCTATACCTCATCTATCGAGCCTCTCAAAGTAGCCTTGGATTGAACGTATTTATAGTATGCCTTAAGTTTGTTCTTGGCATTACTTGCAATCCTATCTTCATACCTGCTGCAATATTATCATTGCAATCACTCCACCTTTCTTCGGGATACTTTGTTCTGCAGATAAGGTCGATGTCCTTCCGTATTGTGATCCATTAATCATTACTTAATATCGTTCTGATCTCTTTTTTCATTTGACTCATTAGGCTTAATTCTGTGGCACATTCACTTTTCAATATTATTTCAGTACACTGATGCGGCTTCAAAACTCTATCAGTGAAATATAAAGCTCATCGGTGAATACTTCCTCCAGTATAGTCACCCAGTTCTCTTGTTATGGTAACCCCACACCTCTCAATCTGCCCTCTCAATATGCCGTGACACTTAGGAGCCAAACAACACGTTTACACTCACGACTTATTTCCCTTAAACTGATGGAGCATTCCAAGCTTACACATCTTTAAGGGTATCCACATTTTCACTTCGGTGTTTCAACTTGCATCTTTTCTGCGCATTTTTCTTATACATCAACCCTCTCTGGATATTCTTTCGGGACATTATGTGCTTCCCCCTCAACCCTCTTCAGCTGGGTATTACCCCAGACTGTCGAGTTTCGCCGCTTCGTTTCAGATTCGGTTGGCTTGGGCCTGTCGAAAACTTGGGATCTACAACTACAAGGGACAAATGGGCTCCGGCAATGGTTGTTGGGCACGGCTTTATCCACCGTTTTGACTATATGCGTACGTATTCGGGACCAGACTGAGGAACACATCCCCTGCCTTACCTACAAGGTGTTTTAAGTTTGTGTCTAGCGTGTAGTCAGTCCTACATCAAAGCGACCAAAGCCTAAATAATCTAAATCACTTCATGACTGATCGAAGCCCCGAAGCCAATGAACGTGTTCTCTGCCCTGTATATTAGTGCATGATGAGAACTCCCGTTCAAGCATCAAACATGTGTCAGAATGTTCCCGTGACGATTCCCCAGCAACACCACATGCGGAAGCACCTGGGGTGCTTTGGATTAGGCCAGAAAGTGACCCACCCCATGATCCACAAACGCGCTTCCCTCCTCCACGAGCAGAAAACGCCTCACCTGTAGAACAATCCCAGGCATTTTTCACCCATCGGACCTGTACAAAATCATCTCCATGTAACGCAAATGAATCTGTGCCCGGAGATTCATCGGCTCTTCCTACACTGTGCGTTAGTTCAGTGGTTAACGTATGCAGCTCATCTATCTCTCACACCGATACAGTTAGCTGCCACAACCCAACATCAGTAGCTCAGTGCCACACGACATCCTGCTCCCAACCTCGTTCTCAACTGTCACTTCTTCTTGAAGGTTTCTCTTGTCCTCCTGAATGCTCCCTCTGTCCGATAGTTGCTGCAGTGCAGGAAACTCGGCCGGATCCTATCACTTCTGTGCCAAGTGATAATAACAATGGTTCCCATTGGAACTTTTCCTTTGGTTGTTTGGACGATTTCTTACCCCAAGATGACCCTTCCCGCTCTGCTTATATCCAATATAAATGTAAGCATCTACGTTACCCCCTTCCTTTGGCCGCGGCAATGGCCAAACTATATGAGCCGTCCAAGATTCCGCCTCTGTTTTCCGATTCGCCCTCTTCCCCGAAGGAGTCAAACTCGGGGATTCTGTTTTTCAAAAATCGTTCTCGCGATCAAGGATACTTGGAGATCGATGATAGTCATTTTACATTGAACAGCAGCTCCTCGATTGAGGCCTCCGAGTCGTCTGTGAATGGTGATAATTGTACCCCCAAACCCTTAACTAAGGCTCAGCTAAGACATGCTCGCACGCGGCGTGAGACTCGCCAGGCTCAATCAGTAGTACCCACTCAGTCGACAGCTGCAGTAGCAACACAAAATGAGTCGGACAAAGTTGAATTGGTTAAAGTTGTGCGACCTGAACGAACGAAACCGGGGGATCGCAGACGATCGTCGGTAGTAACAGGAAGGCGCCAATTGCTGGCGGATCGACGACGCTCACAAAGGCTGCGCTCTTTAAGCCAACCGCTGACTGTTACTGTAAATTCAGAGTCCCCACAAATCCCAGCTCAAGCTTCAAATACACCATTACCAAGCCTCCCAGGCAACGCCGCTGTTTCCAGCTCTCCCCAATGTAATGTGGAAGATTCTGACAACCCGGTAATCCTCGGAGTTTCTCACGTGTCCATTTCAACGCGTTCCTCTCGTCTTGGTCAATGGGGTCGGAGTTTGCTACGCCCATCTCTTTCCCGCAACCAGATTGAAGCACTTTATG